TGAATGAAGCTTCAAGTAATGAACCATTTTCAACACCATTGTATCAGAAAGCAATAATGCTTCGAAACGCTTCGAAAATGCTTCACAGCCTTGTGCAGGTCTACAATTTTATCTGATGTCCTTACACAGCTCTCTGGTCTTGGCCATTGAACTGAGGCAATCACTGAAATAATTTGACCAAGTTTTTATATTGAAAACCAGAACTAGATTAAAATCACCAAGAACTATGAGCTATTGAGGCTGGGTATTTACTGTACTTATTACCAAAGAATAATAATTATGAAATATAATCAGTTTATTCTTACCTGAATATTAGACCACCGATGCTGAAGAGCCTCTCTACTGGAGCGCTTGAGGGCAGGGCAGTGTTGTGTTTTATGAACAGCTTTCTGAGCTTTGAAAACTGGATGTATTCATCAAACCCATCTGTGGATGGGGCATCCAAATAGGTGTCCACTTCAGATTTTTGAAAAACGAGGTTTTTTGTTAAATCTGAAAAATGACGCTGCAGGATCTTTCTTGACACTTTCACCACTGAACTGGGCTTGACCTGAGTCTCTTGCAGCTGAATCATCAGAGTTGAGGGTTTGAAATTCTCTTTTCAGCATCAATCTGTAATGCATACGTTTCTCCTCATCTTGGACCCAGTCTAGCTTGAATCTTGGCACCAGCATAGCGGAGAGTATGTTGTCCCTCTTCTCCAGAAGACCTGCCAGCCTTGTGCTCAGTGACTCCAAGATACTCTTTATGAGTGGTCGGCATGTAATGAGACCCTCTGCTGCAGTGGACTTTATGCTCTCATCCAACAGGTCATTAATATAACATTGCAGCTGCACAATGGTTGGTGCCAGGTAGCCAAGAAAGATGTTCTTCTCTGCTTGGAGTATGTTTAGTGCAAATGTTAAAGGCCTCATCACATCCACAAACTTGTGTATGAAGTTGACTTCCTGTGGAGAGAATCGGCGAAAGCCAAACTCATCACTCACAGTGTGCAAAATCAGGTCGTCATGTAGGAGAGTGGCATTATTTTCATGGGTGACCTCAGCCACGTTAATTTCTGCCTTGGTAGTTAGTGTTGCTATGCGAGACAGTCGCTCCATGGCAAGAAATACTGAATTCCATCTCGTGTCATTTGGCACAACAAAGCAAATCCCAAGCTTTTCCTCCACAGCATCAGAAGCTTTTGTACGTCGCTTAACCAGGTTCCATAGAGCAGATGCTTTTTGCAAAAACAGCCCTCTTCATTGTTTTGTAGTGTTTTTCAGTTACCTTTTCTGTATCTTTGGCCACTAGATTCAAGGTGTGAGCCATGCACCTTCTGTGAGGGGGGAGAGAGGGATGATCCAGTCATCTGGATCCAGTCATCTGGACCAGGCTCCATCTGGTCATCTTCATCTGAGGTCTCACTGGCGGCAGACACTGGTTCATTGTCATCTTCACTTTCAGTTTCATCAAAGTGGACCACTATCTCTGGCACTTCAGTATCACAAGCAACATCCATCCCAAAACAGTTGAATGCCTTGACAAAATTTGTAGCATTGTCTGTTACTGTACACACAATGTTGTTGTGGATTTTGAATTCTTTGTTTACATCTGACAATAATTTTTCCAACACATCATGTGTATGTGCTCCTTTAATCCGCCGGCATGCCAGTACTGCAGAGTATCTCTTAGAAACATCAGTTTTGTTTAGCCAGTGGAAAGTGATGTTCATAAATGCCTTGTTCACAGCTGACCAGCAATCTGCTGTTGTGCACACAACATCGATCTCAGACAGTTTAGTCTTAAGGTCACATATGTTTTCTTTAAATTTCTCGTTTAACAGTGTCTGTACTTTTTTTCTTGATGGCATATTTTTGGATGGCTGCAACCCCTTAATTAAGTTTATGAAAGCTGGGCTTTCCACTTTTCTCAAAGGCTGCAGGTCTCCGACGATATACTGCACCACCAGGCTATCCAGCTGCGGCTGGGAGATGACAACGGCCCCGCTACTGTACGCAGTTAATGTGGTTTGTGCCGAGGATCTGTCTGGCCTGTCTTTAGATTTTTTGATTGCTCGCTCATACCTTGAAAGGCTAGTCGGGTGCTTCAGTTCAATGTGCCGTATTTTATTTTTGAAAGCCGGCGGGCAAAGTTTGCACAGAAATGTAATATTTGTTCCATCCTCACCGACCTGGTCATAAAACTCTTAAATTATCATACGACGCCCCCTTGCTGCTTCGTCGCCCATATGCTGCTGTTGCCTCCATGCTGGTTTTTGTTTTGATGACGCAAGCGGCGTTGCCGTGCGACACTGGTGGCTGGTGTTGCCAGATTGTGTTTTTTCCCGCTACATATTAAGGCCTGTTTACGGTGTGTTTTCGCCTGGAAGACTCTAGAAATCTGGCACCCTATTGAACGAAGTTAAACTGAGAGAGCATGCTGTTCGTTCACAGACACTAGAATGAACGCGTTCACAGTAACGTTCATAAGGCAGTAATACAGTACGTTCAGTTCACGTTCGCTCAAAATATGAACGAGTTCATGAACTATCGTTCAATGAATGCGTTCAGGCACAACACTGATCGGCAGTGTATCAAATACTTGATCTCCCCACTGTATATAGTGGTCAATTTTTTCTATTAGTCCTGGCTAAAATGTTTGGAGGGGGATGGTGCTCAATCATCTTCCCACTGCCTTAATGTTAATCAATAATCAATATTTAAAGCTGCAGTCCCTAAAGTACATAACCAGCCAGTGTTCAAAACTATCCGCTTGCCTTAGCTCGATTCAAAACAGTAAGCTTGTAATAATGTTTTTAATTCCAGTGGTACTGGTGGATTTCCACTGGGAAAAAAGATCAAGAGAAATATGGGAGATTAAAAACAACTATGGAGGGGTCCAAAGGATTATAGAAGGAGATTTATATATAAATATGCTGTTACGTGATATTCCTGGGTCTTTGTTCCTGACTTTCTTGCAATTTAATAATTGATGTGCTGACATGAAGGACATGTTGGAGAGTTCCTATGTTTAATCTATGTGTTAAACAATCAGAACCAAGTATTCTTGGACACTTAACGTACAGTTATAATCAAAATTATTCAAGCCCCATTGCAAATCAGGTTTATTGGCAAAATTTACAGACTTTCAGCTGTTTGCAATAAACAAATCAAACAAAAGTAATTTAAATAGCTACACACAACAAATGTGGCTTTCCCACATTCAACTGAAAATGCAACTTTTAATGACTTCTGCAGTCTCAAAATTATTCAGCCCCTTCATTAGAAAGCATCTTTAGTATTTAGTATAACACCCTTTTACTGTTAAGACCTGCTGCAAACGAGATGTATAACCAACACCAGCTTCTGGCAGCGTTTCTGAGGAATCTTAGCCCATTCCCATTGAGCAATGGCCTTCAGTTCAGGAATATTCTTGGGTTTGTGTGCTGCAACTCCCTTCTTCAAATCCCACCAGATATTTTCTATGTCAAGTCAGGTGTCTGTGATGGCCACTGTAGACCCTTCTTCTGCAACCAAGCCTTGGTGGAATTTGAGGTATGCTTGGAATCATTGTCCGGTTGGAAGGACCAATGATGCCCAAGCTTCAGCTTCCTCAGAGACAGCGTGATACTTCAATGAATCCACCTTGTCTTCCACATGCTGCAGGTTTCCAGTGCCAGAAGTTGCAAAGCTGCACCAGAGCATCACCATCTTTAACTGCAGGCAGAGTGTTCTTTTCAACATATGCTTCATTCTTCTTCCTCTAAACATACCCCTGATCCATAGGGCTAAAAAAAGTTCTAGTTTTTTTTCACCGCCCTACAGAACAGAACCCCAAAACTATGTGGCTTCTTTATATGATTTTGAGCAAATTGGAGCCGATTTTTCTTGTGCTTTTGGGTCAGTAGTGGTGTATGCATGCGTTTAGTACGGGCCTTACTGTGCAGCTGAAAACTGTTGCCTGTTTCCACCACTTGAAACATTTGTTGTGTTGATCTATTTAAATTACTTTTGTTTGATTTGTTCATTGCATACAGCTGAAAGTCTGTAAATGTAGCCAATAATTTTGATTTCAACTGTAAATCACTGAATCCTGTCTACTATAAGTTTTGCTGTATTCGATTGTAAAGCAGAAGCGGCCTAAAAACTCTTGTTGACTCCTGCTCTTGATATTGCAAACATATTAATTTAAACCCTTGACTCCAGGTCTTCATTCATCGATTGGTTTGTGGGTCTTGAAGGGATAGTTCACCCAAAAATGAAAATGACCCAATGATTTACTTACCCTCAAGCCTTCATAGGAGTATATGACTTTCTTCTTTCAGACGAATATAATTGGAGTTGTATTAAAAAATGTCCCGTCTCTTCCAAGCTTTATAATAGCAGTAAATGAAGGATGATATTTTAAAGCCCACAAAAGTGCATCCATCCATGATAAAAGTAATCCATTCGGCTCCATGGTGTTAATAAAGGCCTTCTGAAGCGCAGTGATGCCTTTGTGTAAGACAAATATCCATATTTATAACTTTTATCGACTAAAATAATCAGCTTCCGACATACGAACGAATTTCTATATGGGCTTTTGACAATTGTCACACCTAGGGATGTTTCCATTGCGCCAGCAACTGATGCAGCATCTCGTTCCCTATTTAGGTGACAAAGATTCCACAAGTCCTAGAGATATTTACTAAGCTTTGTTTTGCAAAAAGCGAGAAGTCTGTCGGAGCTTGGAAACCAACAACAACCACAGAACAAGCTTAGTGACCTCAGTTGCCAGTAGGGGAAGCTCAGCCACTAGTACAGATGGGATGCTACTTTTTTGTCCTTTCTATTAATTTATTAAATATATTAAAACTGCAACATATGTAGTTTGTGCTGACTATGAACAGCCATGCTATCCACAACATCACTTCTTCTCATGTGATATTTCTTAGGTTAATCAATATTTGAAGAATTGATTTATCCTGACAGAAAAATAGAATTAAGAGGAACAATACCAGCATGATTTGCTCTGTGCAGGTATCGTCTGGCCCCAGCTTATCATTTTCCTGCCCAATTTGAGGATGTGTATCGTGTGGTGAAGTACTTTCTTCATGTTGAGGTCCTGAAGGGCTACCATATCAATCCAGAACGGATTGCTGTGTCTGGAGACAGTGCAGGAGGCAACCTTGCAGCTGCAGTGGCTCAGCAGGTAAAATCTAAAAAAAAAAGTTTACTTTTAAAAAGTTAGTTGAATTTTTATAGAATAATGAATAATCTTGATATGTTTAATATGTATGTATGTATAATCAGTTGCAGAAGGACCCACAACAGCATGTCCAGCTAAAGGCCCAGGCTCTAATCTACCCTGTCCTGCAAGCCTTGGATCTTAACACTCCCTCCTACCAGCAGAACCAATACATGCCTATACTGCCTCGCACACTGATGGTGAGGTTTTGGAGCGAGTACTTCACCAGCGATAAGTCATTTTTCAGAGCCATGATGGCAAACAGACACAATAATCATGAATCGGCTGCTTTGCTTAAATTTGTCAATTGGAGTTCATACTTGCCTGATTCTTATCGCCAGACATACAATTACAGTGCTCCACCTGTGGTCACTAGAAAAAGTCCAGTGCACTCTATTAGTCCCCATCATTCGCTTGCAGATCCACGAGCATCGCCATTGCTGGTGCCGGACACAATGTTGCGTTTCCTGCCTAAGGCCTATGTTTTGACCTGTGAGTATGATGTATTGCGGGATGATGGTTTGATGTATGTCACACGTCTGCGTAATGCTGGAGTTGATGTCACACATGAACATTACCCCGGTGGATTTCATGGTGCACTAATGTTCACTATGTGGCCCACAGACTTTGATATTGGACACAGGATGGTGGACAACTATGTTACATGGCTTAAGCAAAATCTATAAGATTAATGTATAATGCAACAGTGATTTATGCATCAGTTTTGGTTGAACTAGGTTATATATTTTGTTTTATTTATTTAATTTTTTTTTCTGTTGTTTACAGTGCACCACTTTTTGTCTTAAAAAGGGCACACTTTTGATTGTATTAATCCATTATGGTACAGGCATTCCTATTATGACCAAATCTGGTTTTAAGAAACACTGGACTATATTATTTGTAAAGGTCAATCATAAATGAAGAGTGTTGATGATATGTATCCATTGCTATACCTTAACTATGTATGTTACTAATGAAGTTGTTCAACACGTTAGCATGACAATAATATGTTTGTTGATCAATCTTCTTAACATTACACTAATATTGTTTTAATATTTAATTTATTATTGTACTATATATTGTACTATTATTATTACTCTAAATCTTTTGCAATTTTCACTGACTGCTTGACATTCTGACAGGTTTGGTTTGATATGCAGTAAAAATGTCTGTCTGATGAATTTCCTGGTTCTCTGAATTCTTATCTTGCAACGTTTGATTTGTATAAACAAATTAAAATTTAGTAACTTATGTTTTAGAAAAAAAGACAGGCCAGTTAGTAAAAACACAGTCTGAGAAAATACTTATAAACAAATCTGAATTACGCAACCATGCGTCATAGCATCTCACAAAAATTTGTTCTTAGTGTATTGCCTACAAACAATTTCAGTAATATGATGCAATGAAACAGGAAGAGCTAACGAAAACAACAAGCATCAATATCAACCACATAGTCAGGGCTCTCAAGTGTCACGCATTGAGCGTGACCAGTCACTCATTTCGGTCTTTTGACACACACTCCTGCCACGCATTATATTTCTCATGCGGAAAAACTATTTATAATATATTTAATATGCCACAGCGCCCAATATTTCTCTGGTCACGCCGCTCTCACTATGGAACCGGCAGGAATAAACTCCCCTGGAGTTCTTAGTCTAGCCTGCCACTTATCAGCCAATCAAAAAAAATAAAGGGGCTACACAATAGCCAATCAGAAAGTAGCACTATTGTATCTGGGTAAGATTTAACGCAACAATCAATGAAAAAAAGCATATCCTGGAATTGTTCACGTGATTTTGCTACAGCATCTTCCCAAAGTTTCGTTCACCCAAAGAGATACCACTGGAGCTTCGAGCATCACTTTGAGCACAGAGTAAGTCATGATCTCCTGTTTTAATGTTACAACAAATTCACAACTTGTTTGACACAAACAATTGACAACTTGACTGCTGTTAGAGAATGTTTCCCAGATAATTAGCGTCTGATTTTCAGTGGTAGGGTAGTCCTAACTATGTTTCTGCAGAGTGACTATTCATTCTTCACAGCTTATAACATTTCTCCCTTCAAAGAGCAATCACATTTTCTTCCATTGCTTCACTGAATGGTTGTTCTCAGGAGGTCTTGTCTTTTCACAGCCACCTTTTGTGTACTTGGCTCATCATTCATTTTTAATTGTGCTTTCACATGAAATCCCTAGCATTAAAGCATGTCAGCATCCCATACCAGTGTCAAATAATTTTTTAGGAAAAGTTGATAAATGTGCTAAAGACATTAAATTGTGCAAAATGCAAACATTATGCCAAAACATGTTTACCTGTGCTTGGCCATGCTTGTCCTGGACACCATGAGTGCAACCAACATGCTTGGTAAGTTGTTCAAAAAACCTATTGTAACATTTTAGTGTCGCATGAGTAACACATGTTTGTTTGGCTTCATAGCATTTAGAAAGTAGTTGTTTTTTCTGAAAAAAACAACTGCTCGGCAGATTGAGAATTAACTCTTCCAGTCAACTCTGGAACAAGCTGTATTTTGCGAAGTTTATGTTGTTTTCATGAAATCTGTCGTCGTAAAGCACAAAGTGTTCAGATGAACCCGTTAATGGATGCCCATTCACATCAACAGGCATTTTCCTCACTTTAAGCCATTTCAATGCTTTGAATTGTCTAACCCCTCATTACTGATCTGACCTTATGTTGTGCTATAATCTATCACTTTCACTATGGTCTCAAAATGTTAACCTGTTGGTAATTCATAGAAAATACACACCAAAAAAAGGATACAGATCTTTTCAAAGGCCATGCAAGTATACATTTAATGAGGTGCTCTGAAAATGATAAGCTGGTGGTTCTTTTCATAGTTAAATGGATCTTTCTATAGTTCTATTTCCTGCTTCCGGTTTCATTCTGTCACTCACCATTTTACCTACAGTTGGTACTCAACCATAATAATACTTTTACCGCCGTGGGAATTCGGGTGTGTATTTGCTGCCTTTTACTGCTAAGAGGCGCTACAATCACAGACTTTGAAAAGTGTCAGTTTATTCTCTTTATTGCGTAATCTGCTGCCACACCGCGGCTCATTCAGGGGTGCGTTTCCCAAAAGCATCGTTATCCAACTATGGTCGCAAGTTCCATTGAACTCTATTAATAACGACAGAACTTGCGACCATAGTTGGGTTTGGGAAACGCACCCCTGAGCGATTGAAAGCTGGTAGCAGATGAATTCAAGTGAATTCATATTCACAATACTGAAATTAAATTTAATAAATTTAATAAATAATGAAAACATTTCAACATAAAACATTGCAATTGAAACATATTAGGCTACATCAATGAGGCTTTGCAAGAGCATAAAAGACGTTATCTTAACAGCGTTCAGACGGTAGCTCTGTGGTCAACGCAACAACAAGAGCCTCACGGAGCTTCAGGCGATCCGAGATCAAATCTCGTTGTAGCCAACATGCTGTTAACCGATGTGGGCCGACAGCGTTTATGTTTTACCGTTCTTGATGCTTAAATAGGTAACTGTTTATTAGCGAGTTTATTAACTGCTTATTTATTTATCAATGGCACATTACAACATAAATTTGCTACATTCCAGTAGAGCCGCTGCACAGACGACAAAACTGATGAAGGAAGACTAGCTGATCGCGTCAGAAAATGAAAATGATGAAGCTCGTCTTTAATCTGCTAAATTATTGTTTTGTGAATCATTCATGAAATTGAGATGACTGACAGTGATACCAGGCCATAGCAATGAAATACATTTTTCAAAACGGATCCATTTAAGGTGCCCTAGAATTTGAAATTGAATTTATCTTGGCATAGTTAAATAACAGGAGTTCAGTACATGGGCATGACATACAGTGAGTCTCGAACACCATTGTTTTCTCCTTATTTAAATCTCGTTTTTGAAAAACACCCCTGAAAAATAGGCGAATCTCCACATAACACCGACTGTGACGCAACAGTCGGGATGTACGCCTCCAAAAATGTGCATATGCCAGCCCATGTTCGATGCCAGGCAGAACTGCGCAGCCGAATCATTGGAAGTTCAGCAGGTGAAGAAACAAGCGAGGATCATAGGGAAAATGGCAGATCATGGAAACAAATGTTATGTTCCAGGCTGTGCAGGGGATGTGAGGACTTTTCATACCCTTCCCTCAGAAAAGAAATGTCAACAGGTGTGGTTGATGTTTATCTATAATCGGATACCGCATCAGTATAATTCAAAGTTGTTAGTTTGCTCTGCCCATTTCACCACGGACTTATTTTCTAACCTGGGACAATAAAACTGTTTCCATTGCAGTTTTGCGAAATATTCCTTTTTCGAATTGCCTGAAAAACCTCCTCATGCGAGCTTAAAAACTTTTTTGCGATAAATGGGAGTTTTTGCGAAATTGACGTGTTTCCATTGAGTGTATTTTCAATTCGCAATTTGGAAGGGTAATCGAAACGCGGCTAATATCAAGCAGGCTTCTCTCAGCGTCTCATACTGAAGAAGGGGGCAATTCCAACTATATTCCCGCAAGCGATAAGTAGTGATTTTATTAACGATAATTTACACTGTGTCATCTAGATCCAGCGCAAGATCCTAGTACAGTAACAAATAGCAAACTCCAAGTAATGAGCATACATAACTAAATAGTATGACAAAGTATTTATGGTGAGGTTAATATTTCTTGCCTGTGTTGTCATATAAATATACAAGATACTGTAGATACATATGTAAATTCGTCACGTCAGGGGCTAACTACGCTAGTTTAGTTGCTCACAGATAATGTTAGCTCACTCGATCCTTCTAGCTAACGTCACATTCTCCACCACATAAGTTGAAGCTATTTGACAAGGCATCTAATGTTAGTCCATTTGTTAAAATGTTTTTGTAACAGGGTTCATTGTTGTGGGAATAAGGAGGCGGGAACAGTCGAATATTCCACAAGTTTAATAAATAAAATAACACAAAAACAAAATGAAAGTATAAGCCAGCAGCCCCTCACGGACGACTGCTGGTCACACAAAACAGAACATAAAATCACAACATAAAATCAGGCCTGTTCCTCTCTCGATCTTCACTGCCGTCGCTCCTCCTTTATGCTTCCGCTCCTCCGTGAGAGATACGAGACCAGTGCGTCTCACAGGTGTCGTTCATTACCACTCACGCCACCGGCCTCGCGCCGCTCTCTCACGTCCCTCGGCCTGCTCGCCACAGTTTTAATTTTAGAAAACTGACTTATGATTATTTTGCACGCTTGTATTTCAGAGTGTGTGAAGTGAAACAGTGAAACAGCCAATCAGAGCAGAACTCCTCATTACTATTCATGACCCTTCCAAATAAGGTAAAAACAGACCATTTCATTCTAGGGCCAATTTCTAGAGTTGAAAATGGACCTCTAAAACCATATCTGGACATTTGAAATGCCCTTAAATAAGCCACATACCCTCTATGTAGATATCAGAGACAAAATTAAAATATTAATTTCAACACATTCTAGGGCACCTTTAACACCTATTGTCCTGCATGCACGATAAAGCCACTGTCCCTCCAAACCCCCCACAGGCTATCTGAGACTGAGACTGACTTAAAACAAAGAGAAGTCGCAATTCACACTTAAATTACACACTTAAAGTCACGCTATTCTAGACATTAGCATTAAATTAGGCTATTAAAGTGTTAATTAGGCTATTAAAGTGTTGATAATGAAGGAATTAAATTATTTAAGCTACATGTAGTCATTAAAGTTTTTTTTAATTAAAGTTGAAGAAATAAAATGCTACTTCGGTTTGGGCCAGCCTTTTTCCAAGCAAAACTAAATACAATCTTCAAACGCATGTTCGTTTGTTGTCATGAACAAAATGTTCAACTCAATATTAAATTCCAAAGGGATCTTTGGATCCTTACAAGCAGTGTGCATGCAATTTGTGAATTAAGTTTTTTTTTTTTTATTCTAATCTCGAACCACAGCGCTTCATGGTGCTAGTGTTAAACTAAATAACATTTATAGGATAATTATGAATTTAAATGAAACAATATCGCAACATTTTGACAAATAAATTATTTGATCTGTTTTTACATTTTAATTCAGGGCGATTTAGCCTACATTTAATCGGAGCGAGATTTTCCCCCTTGCCTTGTCCTTTCCTCATTGGGAAGCGCTCACATCATAGCTAAACATGTTTGAGCATATCCTCTGTACCTCTCGGTTTCAGATGGATTACAGTTTAATCAGATAAACTATTAAATATTTAGACATTTAAAGGCTTTAGACATAGCCGATTTCTTATCGTGACTGAGCTGAGGCGAGTGGCTTTCGGTTAATTTTTGTGACGCGCAGTTCCCGTAGACAGAGACAACAGATAAACTTTTGTCGTTAGCCTAATATGAATAAAAGTTTACAGTTTTGAACGATGTAGGCTACTCTAATCTTATCTGAATAACCAAAAAAATCACGGGGTAGCCTATTAAGTTCTTTTATGAGAAAAATAAATTCAAGTGAACGCGCAGCCGCGTTTGTCGAACTCTAATTCAACATGCCAGAATAAAACCCGATTTTAGAATAATGCGTAGCGCCACTCGGCGTGGTGTGCCAAAACACCTAATTATAAACTTTCGTTCAATTTTCGTTCAAAACCATCTCAAAACGCTTTGTGACATTTTGAAAAACCGTGAATGTATTAAGGCCACTGGAACCAGGATCATAACTGACACTCGCTGCATGTTATCTGTCACAGGTCGGGAGGGTCGACCGGGTCTACACCCTCCCTTTAGAATGAGTACCACTGAGGAGCGGACCAGAAACCAAGCAGACAAAGGAGAGTAAGGCTGAATCCCAATTCTCTGTCTTACCCCTTCCCCTTACCCCTTCCCCCTTCCCCCTTCCCCCTTCCCCCTTCCCCTTCGTCTTACCCCTAGCCCTTGTCCCTTGAAACCGAGTGGTAAGCGCTAGTGCAAACATACCCCTATGAAATGAGACACCACTCGGTTACGTCATGGTGAGACGCCACTTGATTACGTCATCTTACATCGTCCTTAACCGGCGTCTGTGTCACCCGGGGCGACAAGCGTTTATCACAAACTTCTCGAAACTTCTCGAAACTTTCAAGATGCCGCCTGCAAGTATGTTTATGTCGATTGCGTGGGTACTGGAGATTTATTTGCGATTGTCAGCAACAAATCGCAGAAATCAAGGGAGAAGAAGAGGTCTACGACGCCTACGAATGCTGGTGGATCCGCTTATGGTATTTATGGTATGTATGGATTGGTAACAAACAACGTTTAGCTGCTACCGAAGTAACCAACACAGTAAGCTGAGCTGTTAGCTAACGTTAAATATATATATTTTTTTGTTTCAGTTCAGCCCTGCTAACGTTATGTGCTTTGTTTGATTCTTTGATGAATAGAATGTTTCAGAGGTTTCTGAAATAGAAAGCTTTTGTAACGTTATAATATAACGTTACTGTTACAAAACCTTTCTATTTTGATTTGTGTGTAATGTGAATTTTTTTGAGATTCAGTGGAAATGACATAGGCTACACTGTGAGATAGCCTACAGTACAAATATTATGAGTGTCCCGTATTTTTCTATTAAAAAAAAAATACTATTTTGAATCTTTATCTGAAGTTGGTAACCCTGGAGACAATTCTATTCACTATGTGCTTTTTTTTTGTTGACGTAGCTGTAGCCATTATGTTGTGGCAGACATAAACAGTTTGAAAGGGTCAAATATTTTTCAAACTCAGCCCATTAATGGTGTGAAAGGTTTTCTTTTCCAGACTGGTACTCCAACGAGATACTGTGCCATAAACCACAACATGCCTATACTGCGCATGTGGTTCAACGCTGAAACTGAGCTGAGGCAGGATTTCCGCCTCACCAGAACAGCGATGCACAGCCTACAGAGGCTTTTGCAAAGGGAGCAGGACCATGGCTGGGGTAATGAGCTTGAAGTACTCATTTACACCTATTGGCTGGCACATGGACTCTCTTATCGGGTGGTGTCCAGTGTCTTTAATGTTCCGAAGGCTACAGTTCACCACATCATCCACAGAGTGGCCCAGCACATATGGGACAATCTGAGAAGAGCAATCTGCTTCCCTCTGACAGTGGACCTGCCTGCAGTTGGTCAGGGTTTTGTCAGCATTTCAGGAACCCCTGCATTCCACAATGTGGTTGGCGCAATCGATGGCAGCCACATACGAATAAAACCACCACAGCGTCACCGGTTAGATTATTTAAATTATAAAGGATTTTACTCCATCAGTATGCAGGCAATATGTGACTCAAATGGCAGGTTTCTGGACATTTATGTGGGGTACCCGGGGTCTGTCCATGACACACAAATTATGAAGAATAGCAGTTTTTATATCGCAAGACGGTATCCACCAACGGGCTACATCCTTCTGGGTGATGGTGGGTATCCTTGTTTGGAAACGCCGATTTGCCTCATCACCCCATTCAAGGAGCCAGTGCATGGAAGAGTACAGCAACAGTTTAATTACTGTCAGTCAAGGGGGCGCAGCATTATTGAAAGGGCGTTTGGCATGATGAAGACCAGGTGGAGGTCAACACTCTTCAGAGCTTTGGAGGTCAAGCCCACGTTTGCACCCCAGGTGATCGCCTCATGTGCTTTTTTGCACAATGTGTGTATGGACAATGGTGCTTGCCATGGCAGAGGCAGAGGTAGAGGGTTCTGAACTGCTGGCTGCAGAAGTGCTGGCTGGGGATGAGGGCTCAACAATCTCCTAAATAGTCAAAATTTGTTATTCAACAGAATAAACAGTCCCTGGACCACAAAAATGCAAAACTTTATTTACATTTACTATTACAGCCTCATAGCACAATTGGAGGGACAACTAAAAATCTTTGAAGTAATTTTTCTCAGTTCCACACTCTAGCGAGTTAAGGTATTTTGCCGGTAACACTTTACAATAAGGTTAATTAGTTAATGTATTAACTAACATTAACTAACCATGAGCAATACATTTGTTACTGTATTTGTTAATCTTTGTTAACGTTAGTTAACATTAATGTATTCTTGGACAATTTCTGTTGTTTCTATCTGGGTTGGTTTGGCAACAGGTCTGTTCCACAGCAGAGGAAATTGCGTAGTAGGTAAAAGAAGGTCATAAGGTTAAAACTAACTACATCACTAATAACTGAATAAAAAAACCACATCTAAATTTGTCAAGTCATTTGCATGAAAGGGGTTCTTATACATTATTGTTTATACTATTAACATAGAATAGAACAGTAGTATTGTGCTTTCTTTAAATCACTGGTGATTTTGTCCATCATCTTTCTAAGTCTTTCATACTGTATTTCATACTGTCTGAAAATATAATATGTCTACTACTCAAAATTAAAATATATATATATTCCTTTTGATACTTTTTCTACATACCTTCTGATACAGACTGTACCACTTCTTTTGCCTTGGAGCAGGTCGGTTACCTGCATCTGATGGCCAGACACCAGTGGAGGCAAAAGACCTAAAGCGCGAGACCCACTCAGTATCATCCATAGCCTTGTGGCTTTTGGATTGTTGTTTGGACATTTTCTGTGATGACAGATACGCAGTTTTATTCATGTTATAGTGTAATTACATTAAGTCATCATGGCAAGGGCCCAAAATGAGGGATTACAAAGAGAGAAAAAGAAAAGGAGAAAAAAGGAGCAAAATGTACACAATATCAATTTTTATCTACTCTCTTATCTTCTCAACATTGTTTACACACAGTTCTGCACTTATTGCAAGGTTTATCATCACTTTAATTTCACGTCTCTTGCAGGATTCGAACCTTTACCGTGGCAATCTCGCTTGTTCTCTAGTCTCGTAGTGCATTCCGGAAGTACTACATGCAATGCATTTTGGGTAACGTAGTCATTTTTAACACAGGAACTCTTTTACATATAAATCACCACAGTAATAACCCTGTGATTATGCAATTATGCACATGAATGCATTTAAAGCAAATTCTCTTGTAAGTAAACATATTTTGTGATGTAAACAAATCAATATTCAAATAATTAACTAAAAATGTTACATGTTACATTTAAAGCTATAACAGTATCTATTAACAGTGTATAACTGTAAATGTAAATAACTCTCCCATCATGTTTCCCCTCCTTTTTTTTTGAAAACTCATTTATTTGAAAGACTACATATGTGCAGCACAAGTGAATAAAACATATTCCAAATTGAGCATAGAGTGTTGGATTTTGTGAATAAATGTAAAATGATTCTGCAAGTAATTCTGGCTTTAGTTTTAACAATTACATTCAATGGATGACACTCGCTGTCCTGGTATTCAAGAGGAAATTAAATAAAAGCGTGAAGACTGTTCTTGGCTCCAATAAAATTATTAAACTTTATTGTAACAGACAGACAAACGACATGGAGAGAGAGACAAGTAATAGTGACAGCAACTATACACTCTTCCTCCAGACATCCAGGGTCAGTCCTAAGGCTGGACAGTACCACCGCTCCTTCAGCTGGGTGTGTCCAGTCCTTTTATTTTTGTCCTGGCCACACACCTTGCAGGTGTAGTTGTACTTTTCCTTTGTCAGCCTCTTCCGTGGCAGTTCGCTCTTTGACACTAGCTCCTCATCCTCCTGGGCAGCTTTTTTCAGCAATTGGAACATGTCTCAATAAACGTAAACTATTAGAAATTGCTATGAATCTATCAAATATGTCTTAAAAACAGATACAAATAGGATTGGTATGAATAATAATGTTTTGTTAATAACAAATTGTTATGATAATAATTATGACCGCCGGTACATCTAGTAATAATAATGAGAGAAGAAGGAGAAAATGCAGATTAAATTATGTCATAAATTATTTTTTAATTAAATACTGATTGGGCCAACAAGTTGCACACTCTTGCCAGGATTTGGACCTGGAGTCTCCCACCCAAAGGATGGACGTGTTACTATTACACCACAAGAGTTGTGTGTTTTTTTTTGGAAATAGTTGCATCAGCAACTAATTATTTTTTTCTATTTGCAACAGAAAATATACTTTTTTTTTTTTTTTTGCAACTATCCTATGTTTTTTCTTTTTTGAAAATAGTTGCAACATCAACTAATTATTTTTTTATTTTAAATAAATCCTTGGGAGGATGCTGAGGTTGGTGGGTGGGTTGCTGACCAGCCCTGGTTGGAGGACCAGCCCTGGGAGGATGCTGAGGGCGGTGGGTGGGTGGCAGGCCAGCCCTACGAGGATGCTGAGGGTGGTGGTGGGTGGGTGGCAGGCCAGCCCTGGGAGGATGCTGAGGGTGGTGGGTGGGTGGAGGACCAACCATGAGAGTGTGCCCTGGCTGGTAAGAAGACCAGCTCTGGTAGTATGTTGGGGATGGCTGGTAGGCAGAGGACCAGCCCTCCATACAGCTGTTTCGAGAGGAAGCAGCATCGTGTTTGGCAATAGCTGCGTCTCCCCCACCTGTGTGTGGAATAGCAGGTGTTCTGGAACTGTGTCGCTGGCGGATTTTTGCCTCACCTTCACGGTTCTCAGGCTCCTGGAACTCCAAAAGAGTGTATCCATGCTGAACTGGCTGTGATGGTAAGTCACGAACCTCCAGGAGGGACTTTTTAGCCACGGCAATCTGCTGTGGAAGCTGCACTCCCTGAAGTAAAGAATCCCGTTCAGTTCTCTTTTGGCGATCTTGCAGCCTGCAGAGACATAAAACAAAACACACAAGAGTAAATTTTTCAGTGTGTTAATTGTTAAAAAGTTTGTTCAAATATGCAATTCAATCAATTTATGAAGATATTAAAGATTAACTCACCAAGAGGACACAGTTGATGTTTACCAGTACCAGGTCACTCCTGTCCATGATCTCTCTGCAGTCCTCAACTAGCTGCTTGATGTGAGAGTATGCCATGACAATGGACTGAGGTATGGCAAATGTCCTCCCTTTATTGTCCTTTGGCCTATTTCTGGCTTCCTTGTACTCTTTGTACAGCTTGAGAGCAACACACTCTGAAATTCTGTTTTGGTCTGGTCTGTGAGCAGCCTGACCATGGACCATGAACAATCTGCAAATAGATGACCAAATCACATAGTGTTCATTATATATGCATGCACTCAAAAAAATGATATGTTGGCTTTACTTAACTTTTTTATGTAAACAGTTTTTATGTAACTTCAACATCCTGGAATTTGGTCATTTTAAGCGACCCAATTAAACTCTGAGCTAATGAGTTAATTAAGTGAATAATTGAGTGATGTTTGAGCATTATTGAAGACACCTGATGTTAACAAGCAGAATCTCTGAAGGAGAAAACCGGAATGTTTAAGTCACCATTATGGAGATAAGTGTGTGTTTTAGTTGGGCTCTTGACCATTAAATTATTAACTTTAGATTTTGTTTGGTTGCTGTACATGAGTTATAACAGCCGGATGAACAATGAACTAAGGAGATCTGATGGTGTTGGTTGTGATTTAACATAATCATTATTTCACAAGCATTTGACCTCAATCACTGAACTTACACTCACCGGCCACTTTATTAGGTACACCTGTCCAACTGCTCGTTAACACTTAATTTCTAAGCAGCCAATCACATGGCGGCAACTCAGTGCATTTAGGCATGTAGACATGGTCAAGACAATCTCCTGCAGTTCAAACCGAGCATCAGTATGGGGAAGAAAGTTGATTTGAGTGACTTTGAACGTGGCATGATTGTTGGTGCCAGAAGGGCTGGTCTGAGTATTTCAGAAACTGCTAATCTACTGGGATTTTCACGCACAACCATCTCTAGGGTTTACAGAGAATGGTCCAAAAAAGAAAAAACATCCAGTGAGCGGCAGTTATGTGGGCGGAAATGCCTTGTTGATGCCAGAGGTCAGAGGAGAATGGCCAGACTGGTTCGAGCTGATAGAAGGGCAACAGTGACTGAAATAACCACTCGTTACAACCGAGGTATGCAGCAAAGCATGTGTGAAGCCACAACACGCACAACCTTGAGGCGGATGGGCTACAACAGCAGAAGACTCCACCGGGTACCACTCATCTCCACTACAAATAGGAAAAAGAGGCTACAATTTGCAAGAGCTCACCAAAATTGAACAGTTGAAGACTGGAAAAATGTTGCCTGGTCTGATGAGTCTCGATTTCTGTTGAGACATTCAGATGTTAGAGTCAGAATTTGGCGTAAACAGAATGAGAACATGGAACCATCGTGCCTTGTTACCACTGTGCAGGCTGGTGGTGGTGGTGTAATGGTGTGGGGGATGTTTTCCTGGCACACTTTAGGCCCCTTAGTGCCAATTGGGCATCGTTTAAATGCCACGGCCTACCTGAGCATTGTTTCTGACCATGTCCATCCCTTTATGGCCACCATGTACCCATCCTCTGATGGCTACTTCCACCATGTCACAAAGCTCTAATCATTTCAAATTGGTTTCTTGAACATGACAATGAGTTCACTGTACTAAAATGGCCTCCACAGTCACCAGATCTCAACCCAATAGAGCATCTTTGGGATGTGGTGGAACGGGAGATTCGCATCATGGATGTGCAGCCGACAAATCTGCGGCAACTGTGTGATGCCATCATGTCAATATGGACCAAACTCCCTGAGGAATGCTTCCAGCACCTTGTTGAATCTATGCCACAAAGAATTGAGGCAGTTCTGAAGGCAAAAGGGGGTCCAACCCGTTACTAGCATGGGGTACCTAATAAAGTGGCCGG